TCCGATTGGTCTCATTTTCATTTCATCATGCCTGAAATGCCTGATAAAGCAGCGTTTGTGAGCGCAGTGCTGCTTTGTGTACAGCGTTACCGGGGAAACAGCTATTTTTACCGCTCCAGAAGCGGCACCTAGTGGCAAAGAATTAAGTTGTATTTTCATTCAGACCAACTCGAAAATTGACTAATGGCCAAGTTTTCCCGGGTCTGCACGCGCAACAAGTGGGCGGACAATATGCTAATGTTTCATGTTGACGTCAACATGAAACGGCTTCCCAGATAGCACACATATGTCTGCAAGATGTCTGTTAAAGATCACTTGATCTGGAAAGCATCTGCTGTGTATAAGATGTCAGTTTTAAATACATTCTAAACCATAAACATCTTAAAGACATCTAATAGACGTCTATTTGACATCTGATAGGAAACGTCCTATAGACGTATTGCAGATGAGCAAACACTCTAAAAAATACATCTTGGAGATGTACATGCAGACGTCAAATAGACGTCTCCGTGATGTACGTGTGCTATCAGGGTTGGGATTCGTTTTAAAAATGACTCGTTTAAATGATTCAGAGACGACTCTTTCTTTTGAGAGACAATAACTTTATACACGGTGCACTTTCAGATTTAAAACTTTGCAGGATGTTTTCATTCACTTAGAGCTGTGTTACACACTGCATGAAAGGTAATTTTCAAAAATCTATAATAGGGGCACTTTAAATAATACTATTATTTATATCAAATATTATTTATTGAATAATAATATTTAATAAACAACAACAACAGCTAGCATAAAACCTGCTAAGCAATTCAGTCAAAAGTACAAAGGTAGCGCTCTGATATACAGCATTAAAGTTACATAAAATATAACGTGATGAGATTTTGCCCTCTGACAAAACGATTTGCTCTGGAACAAATAATAGATTAATGAGACCAAAGACTGCCTGCGAAATTTACCCAGAATGAATTATATCTCATGCTTAACCACCATCGAGACATCAGAGCCAACGGCAGATTCCAGAAGATCTGGCCGAGGTGAGGCGCTCTCGGTGGGCTCATGAGCGCTGAACGCCCGCTGACGCCCTGGAGCTCACTTCTCCGAAAACATTGAAGCAAATTTTCAAATAGACGTTATCTTTATTAACAAACTGCATATTTGAAGTATACTGTAACAACTACATCTTTTCATAAAAAAACTCTTAAAACTACATTCCGTGACACAAAAACAGTATTGTTTATAAAATTAAAGTGGATTTGGGCGTCTGCCATGACACTCGCTATGAGAAATACTGCAAGCGGAGTGATATAAACGGTGAAACGGTTGGAGTTCCGATATCACTAGAATATCGCAACGCAGGAAAAGGCTCTCAGTCAATCAGATTCGAGAACCAGAAAGAACTGTTGTATAAATATATATTATGCAAATTCTTAAGGTTAGACAATATATTTTCTAATATTACTGCTAATGTTAATATTATTTTAAGTATGTGAATTGTCATAAAATTTAAATATTCAAAGTCTACACTGAAATTTGAAGGACAACCAATTGCTTCTTTTGTTTTCAATTTCTATGCCGGTTTAACTGAAAATGAATAGCAAATCATACTGTGAATATCACTTTTTTTATGAATTACACAGGACCTGTCTTGCAAACCAAGTTTGGGGCCCTGAAAGGTGAATATGTGAAAGCGAAGGGAAAGGACACAGTTGTCCATTCCTACCTGGGTGTTCCGTTCACCAAGCCGCCCGTAGGTCCTTTGAGATTTTCTCCTCCACAGCCTGCAGAGAAATGGGCCGGAGTGAGAGACGCTACAAAACAGCCGTTCATGTGAGAATAAACCAAACTAATGCAGCTGTAGATCAGCCGTTTCGCTTCAACACCTAGCTTTTACATTGTTCCTCTGTGTCTGTCCCAGGTGTCTGCAGGAAAAGCAGTTAGTTGAAGACTTGGTAGCCAATATATCAATGAACATAGAGGTTCCTGACTCATCAGAGGACTGTCTTTACCTCAACGTCTACACACCTTCTAAACCTGGAGCAAATGACAAGTTGCCTGTAAGTGTGACTGATTTGGATGAACTTTGTTGCATTTTTATGGATGTATTTTAATGTTGTTTTTAATGGTGCAAAAGGTCATGGTTTGGATCCATGGTGGAGGTTTGTCGATGGCTGCTGCGTCACTGTTCGACGGACATGTTTTGGCTGCCTATCAGGATGTAGTTGTGGTTCTGATTCAGTACAGACTTGGCCTACTTGGATTTTTCAGGTAAAAACTAATTGTTACCAACATAAAGATCCAACATAACCTAAAATAGTTCATTTATTCAATTAAATCAATTCTAAATTCTTGACGTAAACCTGTCCAGGCATTGGAGTGACCATAAAACATGACAAATCAAACATTATTAAGGTTTATATTTGTTTTTTCTTCATCAGCCCATGTGTCTTTGGACTTCAGACTTACATGTTAATTGTTTGAACAGCCATAAAGTCTTATTAGTTCATGTTTTTGATGCTTTGGAGTCGTTCGGACTCTCTGATTAGTGATTGAGACCGTGGTTTTGAGGTCTAAGGTCTCTGATGAGGTTGTATGATGATCTTTTGCTCTTTAGCACGGGAGATGAACATGCTCCAGGAAACTATGGTCTTCTGGATCAGGTTGCAGCTCTTCAGTGGGTTCAGGAGAACATCCACAGCTTCGGTGGAGATCCTGGATCTGTGACCATCTTTGGAGAGTCTGCCGGAGGAGTCAGTGTGTCTTTACATGTAAGGATTGTAAAGGAAGTAAATTGAAAAATTAAAATTATATTGCATGTGATATACATCTTTTACAGTAAATAGTATTTTATTATTAAATATTATATATCCATATCATGAATGAATACAATTTCCTGTTTTATTTTCTCCCCCATTTTGGCCGACACATTTTTAACCCTAACCCTAACCAATTTTATTTTAAAGAATTTCATTCATTTAATAAAGGCATTTACACTATTATGATGTCAGGACATACAAATATAAGAAAATGAATTTGAATACTGAAACTAAAAGCATGTTTTTAAACATGTTTTAAATAAAAAAAACCAAAAAAAACATAATTTTAAACATAACATAATATTTTTTACATATAGATTCTTTCTCCATTATCTGCAAACCTCTTCCATCATGCCATCGCAGAGAGCGGTACGGCAGCAATGGATGCCATCATGAATCCCAACCCTCTGCCAACAGCCCAAGTACATTTCCCAAATGCATTACAATTTCAATTTTACAATTGCCATCTTATTATACCTTGACTTACAGATTTTTAATCAAAACTTATCAACATCTTTCTGTAGTATGTAGGAAATGCATCTGGCTGTGATATTTCCAGCACAAAGAAGATTGTTGACTGTGTGATGCAGCTGACTGAAGACGACATACTGACACTGCTTAAGGTCTGTCTGTTCACATACTGGGTTTTCTCATAGAATCATATGCGAACAGTCTTCTTATGCACTAAATGTTGTGTTTGCATGTATATATGTCTTTTGAAACAGGAGCATCCAATGGTTCGTTTTGGAGTGACGATGGATGGCCGGTTCCTTCCCAAGCCTGTAGAGGAGCTTCTTCAATCCCAGCAGTTTAATAAAGTGCCTCTGATCAATGGAATCACGAATGATGAGAGTGGATATATGCTGCCTAGTGTAAACACTGTTTCACTTTTAAAATATGTAAAAATACAAGCATAAGATTTGTTTTTCCAAACATTCAGTCAGAATTGTACAGTATATTCATGTTTAACAAATGCTTTTCCGTAGTTCTTTTCACCACAAGGATGGACAGATGGGATGGACATGGAGCAGATCTTGCCATTTTTGACCATATTTAACCCTACCGTAAGATAAAACACTTTTATCTTATCTTTTATATATACATGTGTATATATATATGTATATATGTCAAAATTTGCTAAGGGGCTCATGTAAAAATGTATAGTCTTTTAGTGGAAAATTAAACAACATTTTATAAAAGTCACCTGTCAGGTGACAAATTTATATTCACATGTGTTATGTCTTAGGTATGTTATGGTCTCTGACAGACAGTAGGCGCGTTTCCATTACAGATTTGCGCAAAACTTTAGCGGCCACGTATGATGTGTTTCTTGGAGGTTATAGTGCATTGAAGAATGATCATATGACTTTTTACATATGCCATGTGACCTGTAAATGCGAAAAAGCCGTTTCCATTGCAGTTTTGCGAATTATTCCTTTTTCGCATTGCCTGAAAAACCACCTCATGCGAGCGTAAAAACTTTTTTGTGATATATGGGCGTTTTTGCGAAATTGACGCGTTTCCATTAGGCGTATTTTCAATTCGCAATTTCAATTTGCGCAATTTGAAGGGTAATGGAAACGCGCCTAGTGTTGATGCCACTCAGGCCACAATTTTCTCCTTCTTCTTTGAGAGTGATAACATTGTCAAAACATCCAGTAGTATGGGTTTTCATTAAATGCGTGCACTCCCTGAGCCACTGCAGGCTTCTCATAAATACTACTGTGTATTGTGCATGTTATTTTTTGACAGACAAAATGTTACATTCAGCTGTCAAATTGGTTGACTTGTGTGTTTATTGTCTCTTATAACAAATGCATTTTTATAGAAACCAATAAAAATGCAGATCGTAGTGTAAATAATTAATAGTAGAAAATCAATAGATTTTTGTATATGGATATATATACAGTGGGTACGGAAAGTATTCAGACCCCCTTAAATTTTTCACTCTTTGTTATATTGCAGCCATTTGCTAAAATCATTTAAGTTAATTTTTTTTCCTCATTAATGTACACACAGCACCCCATATTGACAGAAAAACACAGAATTGTTTATATTTTGAAAATATTTACATGTATTTACATGTATATATTTATATTCATATATAAATATATTTAATATATAAACATAACATATTTTTCTTAAATATATACATGCATGTGTGTGTATACATATATTATATACATAATAAATGTTAAATTTGATTTTATTTGTATTTAAAAATTGATTTGTATCATTACTAATTTTGTATAATATATTATAATTTAATGTAATATAATTTTAATTTAATATCATTTTAATATAATATTTCTGGTCTGTTTTTCTCCCCTTTAGCTTCAAGATCAGTCAATTGTTGAGCTTGTTTTAAATGAGTATCTAGGCACATCCCCTGACAGGACCAAAATCCGAGATGGTTTTCGAGAGATGTTAGGAGACTTTATGTTCAACATCCCAGCTCGCAAGGTAGCGAATTACCACAGAGGTGAGAGTTTGTTGAAATATAACGGTTTATTTTGCAAAAGGCTTTTTCAGTGATACTCAAAGGTAATTGGGGATTTTGTCTATTTCTAGATGCCGGTGCACCAGTATACATGTACGAATTCCAGCATCCTCCCAGTCTACTTCAAAAGAAACGACCTAGTTTTGTTGGATGTGACCATGGAGATGAAGTTATATTTGTTTTAGGTTTTTGCTTTGCAGATGGACGTATAAAGCTGGAAGGTACGGCCCGAATAATATTAGGAAACATAACAAATGATTTTAGTGGTTTAGAAGTAAACAATCTAAAGGTGCAGTCGCATTAGTGAATTTCCAGTGAAATTTTGTGGACAAAAAGGTCCATTGTCTATTATCAATAGTGTATTGATGTATGAAGCACAGCTCACACAGAGGTCACTTTCAAATCAAGCGGCTTTCTGTTGATCAACGCCGCAAATTTGCATGACCAACCTGAATCTGTTGCAAAATCTGCATAGGGAAATTTTTCAAAGTTTCCAATTAAGCAGATTTCTGTTAAAAGTACTTGATTTCAACAGCAAACAGTAAGATTTAAGAAAAGGAAGAAAGATTTCCCCATGCGGATTTTGCAATGGGTTCATGTTGGTCATGTGAATTTGCATCGTGTGACCGCATCTTAAGATCTCAAACTTTGATTTCATTTAAATCACAACTGGATTCTATAGATAGTGACAATCAATACAGTGTCTCTCTTAGGTTTTCTGTTTGATGTCTTTCTTCCTTTTTTAATTCAGAGGAACTCTCAGAAGAAGAGAATGAACTCTGTAGAACTGTCATGGCTTACTGGGGAAACTTTGCTCGCACTGGGTAAGTGATACTTACCGTAAAGTTGTCCAGTTGATATTTTTTTGGGTGGTAAAGTCAAAAATGTTAAGGTGATACAACTGTCCTGATATCATGCTGAGGAAAAAAACCTCATTCAAAGGATGAAATTCTTAAAATGAAAACATTAACTATAATTACTATCTATATTATATTTACTATATCTTAGAAAATTAAATAAGCAGTGAAGCAGCTTTGATATAATATGAATATGATATAAAATATAATAAATATGAAAAACTGTTGTCCGCTAAATCAAATCATGTGGTGTGACCAACATGCAGGGAAAAAACAAAACAGGAAGTGATATCATAGAGAGAACCTCCGCAGATCCTCATGACTGTATGTCAAAATCAAAAAAATCCCTTAAAATATCAGGTCATTTGGCAGGCTAATTCAGGTGTAAAATGTCATGTGGTGCGACTCTGAAAAAGTCATGACTTTTATGAATTAATGATTTTTATTATATACTTTTTTCATGATATTTAATAACATTTTATGAAAAATATATTTCAAACTTGGGATCACTCACATGCATTCAGGTTTATCTGATAGTTACACCACATTACATTTTTAGTGTCATTTAATTGAGAATTGTCTTGATTATTTTTTTTAAGTCGTGTGGTGTGAATCTCCAAACATCCTGACATTTATCAGTTAATAATTGATATAATTTTTACATAATGTTTAATCAAATTTTATTAAAAACATTGAATTATATATTTAAAACTTAAGATCACTCACATGTATTCTGGTTTAGGGAAAATTACTTTTTACTTGATAGTTACACCCCATGAAATTTTTAGAGACATTTAATTGAAAACTTTTTTGTTTTCCAAACAAAATTAACTCAAGTTGTAAAATGTCATGTGGTGAGACTCTCAACATAAATATATAATATATATTTATACGTAATCAGGTTAAAGGAAAATTATTTTTTTACTTGATAGTTACACCACATGACATTTTCATGTGGTCTTTCAGTCATTCAGAAATTTTTCTTGAAAATGGTTTGAAAGTTTTCCAAACCAAGTTATTTCAGGGTGTAAAATGTCATGTGGTGTGACTCTACAATAACGTCCTGACATTTATGAATGATTAATTTACACTTCTATAAGTTTTACATGATGTTTAGTACATTTCTATTAAAAATACATTTCATTATATATAAATATATTTATCTATTTATAACTTAAGATCACTCACATGCATATAGGTTTAAGGAAGATTACTTCTTACTTGATAGTTACACCACATGACTTTTCCCATGTGGTCATTCAGTCATTCAATTGAATTTTTTCTTGAAATTGGTATGAAGGTTTTCCAAACCATATGAAACCAACATGAATACAAAAAATAAATTTCTAAAAATTTGTCATATGCATTTAAAACTAGATTTTAAAACCCTTTTTCCTGGTGGCAGGTCTCCGAATGGTCTGGGCCTCACAGAGTGGCCTAAATTTGGGGCTGAGGCTGAGTATCTCAGCATTGGACTGGAGCAAAAACCTAGTAAAGACCTGAAGGGAAAACACTTCACTTTCATGACTCAAACTCTTCCGCGGATAATAAAAGAGCGAAAGGAAGGCAAGTTCAGAATCAGCATTGTTTCACTAAGATTCCCTGCATGAAACTAAGAACTGCTACACATTTGTTTCTGGCAGGACCTCTAGTTCACACCAAACTAGGAAGTTTAAGAGGTGCATTCATGACTGCGAAGGGCAAGGAAACTGTCATCAGTAGCTATTTTGGTGTACCGTTTGCAAAGCCTCCCGTGGGTCTGTTGAGACTAGCTCCACCACAACCTGCAGAGGCTTGGCAAGGAGTGAGAGATGCTACAAAACAGCCACTCATGTGAGAATAAAGCAAAACTAATGAAAAAAAAAATCATCAGGCCTGTTCATATGGGAAAAAATGACACTTTGTGTTCCTTTATCCCAGGTGTCTACAGGCAAGGGATTTGCTTTTGGACCTGTTAGCTAATGTGTCTATGAATGTGGAGGTTCCTGAAGTATCTGAGGACTGTCTTTACCTCAACATTTACACTCCTTCTAAACCTGGAGACAACAGCAAGTTACCTGTAAGTCTTTGGTCTGAATTTCATTGAGTTTTGCTCTATTATTATGCATGAATATATATGTTGGTTAACGTTTTTTTAACACATGATGTGCAATAGGTTATGGTTTGGATTCATGGTGGAGGTTTTTCTGCAGCCTCTGCTTCCATTTTTGACGGACTTGTTTTGGCTGCTTATCAAGATGTAGTTGTGGTCTTGATCCAGTATAGGCTTGGTCTGCTCGGGTTCTTCAGGTAAAAACATCTACAGCTTCTCAACATTTTAAGCTTTGTGTAAGGAACACAGCCAAATTTAAGTTATTCACCAAATATACTGATTATCACTTGTTCTGTTGTTTCTTCAACTATGGGTATTTTTGGTCTCGTGGGCTTTTAGGAAATAAAGTCACACTTCACACTCTCTAAGTGGTTTAATTTGCTGACATTGTTCAACAGTGTTTTTGTCTGAAATAGTTATTTCCATCACATCTCAAATGATGATTTGTGCTTCATAACATTCTGTCACTTTCAAACCAAGCAGCTTTCTGATGGTCAACGTTGCAAATCCCTGTGGCCAACATGAATCTGTTGCTAAATCTACGTGGCGAAATATTTAGTGAAATTCCACTCGCATGAATTCCTTTTAAAATGACTGAATTTTGGTCGTGGAAATTTGCTGAACAACTCTAAATGTGACCACACCATTAGGCATATAGAATAATTGTAGCCTCTTATATGATTAATCTCCATTTAGCACGGGAGATGAGCATGCTCCAGGAAACTATGGTCTTCTGGATCAGGTTGCAGCTCTTCAGTGGGTTCAGGAGAACATCCACAGCTTCGGTGGAGATCCTGGATCAGTGACCATCTTTGGAGAGTCTGCCGGAGTCAAATGATGATTTGTGCTTCATAACATTCTGTCACTTTCAAACCAAGCAGCTTTCTGATGGTCAACGTTGCAAATCCCTGTGGCCAACATGAATCTGTTGCTAAATCTACGTGGCGAAATATTTAGTGAAATTCCACTCGCATGAATTCCTTTTAAAATGACTGAATTTCGGTCATGGAAATTTGCTGAACAACTCTCAATGTGACCACACCATTAGGCATATAGAATAATTGTAGCCTCTTATATGATTAATCTCCATTTAGCACGGGAGATGAACATGCTCCAGGAAACTATGGTCTTCTGGATCAGGTTGCAGCTCTTCAGTGGGTTCAGGAGAACATCCACAGCTTCGGTGGAGATCCTGGATCAGTGACCATCTTTGGAGAGTCTGCCGGAGGAGTCAGTGTGTCTTTACTTGTAAGGATTCAAACACAAAGATTTAATCATGTAATGACTAGGAAATTATATTGATCTGGCTTTACAGATGGCTTTAAATAAAGATACACTTGTGTGTTTTAAAGATTTTCTCCACATCTTTAGGTTCTTTCTCCATTATCCTCAAACTTGTTTCGTTATGCCATCGCAGAGAGCGGTACGGCAGCAATGGATGCTATAATGAGTCCCAACCCTCTGCCAACAGCCCAAGTACATTTCCCAAATGCATTACAATTTCAAATTTACAATTTTTATTTTATTACACTGTGACTTATTGTTTTTTAATTAAAATGTATCAACATCTTTCTGTAGTATGTAGGAAATGCATCTGGCTGTGATATTTCCAGCACAAAGAAGATTGTTGACTGTGTGATGCAGCTGACTGAAGACGACATCTTGGAGATTGCTAGGGTTTGCATCACAACCATCCATCCATCCATCCATGCTTACACATGAAATGTTATATTTAATAGAGTTTTATTAATTATATGCATCTTTTACTTCTTGTAAAAACACTTGTAAGACCATGCTGTGAAGTATTGCATTAATATAAATAACACAGATCATTTATGTGCTAAATTTGTGTGCATATTTTTGACTCATAATTCAGGAACAACTAATGCTTCGTTTTGGAGTGACCATCGATGGCCAGTTCCTTCCAAAACCTGTAGAGGAGCTTCTTAAATTCCACGAGTTTAACAAAGTGCCTCTGATCAATGGAGTTACTGATGACGATGGTGGCTATACACTACCTAATGTAATGGAAAAGCTTATTTTTACATGATTTTGCTGTGAAATATAAACATAGGTTTAAAGTCATAGATTATTTCTGAAAAATGAAATCTTTGAATGAGAGTAAAGTGAACATAATATATTCCAAAACAATTTTTTCTGTAGATTCTTGGACCCCCAGGATGGACAGATGGAATGGACAGAGAGCAGATCATGGCATTTTTGCCTTTATTTAATCCTGATGTAAGACAGAACACAATTGATAGTTTATGCATCCTTTATCAAGATCAAACAATTTGATTTCAAACAAAGCAGTAGTAGGTGTATATATAAAGTGCATGGTAGAACAGTTCAAACACCTATTAATTTCAAACACAAACTTAAAATTTAATTATCAGCCTTATTGTATATTACACAGAGCTTGGAATTTTAACCAATTGAATACAATTTTGTTTCATTTTATTTTGTTTAATTTTCCCCTATTTTATTTAAGAAACTGTGGAGTCCCCCAGGGTTTTGTTCTTGGACCTCTGCTGTTTTCTTTTTATGTTACTTTTTAGTAATCAGGAAACACTGAGTAAATTTTTCATTGCAGTTATGCAAATATATCCCACTGTATCTGTATCTCTATTACTTCTGAGGATCAGTAAACAAAACTTACCAGTTACTTGTTACACAATGAAAATCTCAGGACATGACTGAAATACTGCTTTGGGGTACAAACATTCTGATAAATTGTTTAGGGTAAATTGTATTATGTTGCTTCAAATGTTAATGTGAAAAAAAAAAAACTATTAATTTAAATCTCATTCTTTTAGTTTCAGAATCAGGTGATTGCTGAGTTTGTTTTAAATGAGTATCTGGGCACATCCAGTGACAGGATCAAAATCCGAGAAGGTTTTCGAGAGATAATGGGGGACTTTTTTTTCAACATCCCAGCTCGCAAAGTATCGAATTACCACAGAGGTGAGAGTTTATTTTATTTATGCATCATTGTGCAATTATGCAAGTTTAATTATTACTATAATTATTATAATTATAATTTTTACTATTAATTATTTATTTTTCCTCTTAATAGATGCTGGTGCACCAGTGTACGTGTATGAATTCCAGCATCCTCCCAGTCTACTTAAAAAGATTCGACCCAATTTTGTTGGATGTGACCATGGAGATGATATTTTTTTCGTTCTGGGTTACTGCTTTGGAAGACATGTAAAACTGCAAGGTTTGTTACTATTCATCTATTAATGATGTGGCAGAGTCTTAACTTTGATAAAGAATATCTCTTTGGTTTTGAGACTTTAGTCTTTGCAACTTCAGGGATCTTATCTATGCACAATCAGCTTGTAACACTCCAAAGAGAAAGGAAAACTTGAAATCGCATCATATGACCCCTTTAAAATATTAAACTGTAGTCTCAGTTTCTCTTGCAAGGATTTTAACAGGAACTACCGTCGAAGCAATGAAACAATGGGTAATAGCAATCAATCAGCCTCTTTCTGCTTCGTTATTCAGATAAAATCTCAGAGGAAGAGAATGAACTTTGTAAAACTGCCATGGCTTATTGGGGAAATTTTGCTCGCACTGGGTAAGTGATTACATCAGTGATAAAACAGTGCCTTCTAAGTTAGGGAAAACATTTACCATTCATTTTAGGGCCAGATTTACTAACAGCTTGCACCAGCGCAAACTGTCTTTTGGTGTTAAAATAGTACTGTAAGGATTGACTAAAAACGCGCAGTGAAGAATTAGCGCTGAAAAGGTGTGGACAGTTATTTTTGTGCCTGACCTTTTTGAATAAGCATTTGTAGGAGTTTCCCTTTCAGACACTAAATTTATGGGAGGAGAGTATTAAAACGAATTACGCAACGTGATTTACTAACGTTTGCGCTTGTCAAATTACTGGTATTTGCGCCATTACTTCACGCCCCAAAAAAGGAAATTTGCAGTGCTCTTAGTATATTGCGCTGGTCATTATGGAAATGATCTGGCTGCGTCTGTGTTCTTTAATGTGTGCATTGTTAGTAAAAATCACCCGCAGAATTTCTAACGCGAATTTGCCGTTTAGTAAATCTGGCCCTTAATGTCACTTAATTATCAGCATTTTCTAATAAATTAGGAATAACGCCACTGATAATTCAAAATGTCCCTTTAAAATGATTTTCATAGACAACAACAACAACTTAAAAAATCCTAATAATGACCTTTAGCCTAAGGAATAACGTTATACTATATACTGTATACTAAACTGTATACTTTTATATATGGCACTGGTCTGGATATTTTGCAGTGCATATTTTACATGATCTAAGAGGGATTAATACTAATTATAACATATATACTACTTCAAGTGCCGTTTTTGCGTTTTAATGTCTGTTTGTCATTGACGGCAGGTCTCCGAATGGTCCAGGCCTCACAAAGTGGCCAGAATATGGAGATGAGGCTGAATATCTCGGCATTGGATTGGAACAGAAACCTGGCAAAAACTTCAAGGGAAAACACTTTAATTTCATGACCCAAAAACTTCCACAGATAATAAAAGAATGGAAGGAAGGCAAGTTACCCATTTCAGAATTGGTGTAAAATTAAGAAGTGTTTAATATTATTTTTTTTATTGCGAAATGTAAGTTAAATTGGATCTTTATGTATATTATTGGTCTTTTTGACAGGACCTCTAGTGCAAACAAAATTAGGATCTCTGAGAGGTGCCTTCCTGACTGTGAAGGGCAAGGGCATAATCGTCAATAGTTATCTAGGTGTACCGTTCGCCAAGCCCCCCGTGGGCCCCCTGAGACTGGCTCGGCCCCAGCCTGCAGAGAAATGGGACGGAGTGAGAGATGCGACCAAACAGCCACCCATGTGAGATGTCGCACAACCGCATTTCAATTCAAACATCTTTAGTTAGACATTTCTATGATCTAATGGTGCTGTGGTTTCTTTAGGTGCATCCAGGACAGGCAAGTTAGTGTAGTTGAACTTGAGTTTCTCGCTATGGATGTGGAGATTCCCGAGGTCTCAGAAGACTGCTTGTATCTCAACATCTACACTCCAGTCAAACCTGGCGAAGACGCCAAGCTACCAGTAAGTTCATCAACAACTTAAGTGAATGTCCTCATAGAAAATGTGTTTGAGAATGTTTCCTTGTGTTTTCTAGGTGATGGTTTGGATTCATGGTGGAGGACTTGCTGTAGGTTCAGCTTCAGTGTACGACGGCTCCGTTCTGTCAGCGTATCAGGATGTGGTTGTGGTGCTGATTCAGTACAGATTGGGTCTGCTGGGATTCTTTAGGTAGGTGTCGTAAATTATTTCACATCTGTGGTTACCCTTGATCATACCATTTTAATGAAGCAGAAAGATTAATGTTGATAATAATAATTAGATTCAAGTTTGATTCTTAAATGAATGATGCAGTGCATCTTAAAATCTGAAAAATGGTCATAATTCAATTCAAATAATTTTGGTACGATACATAATATTTTCATTATGGCAGTTCCATAGAGTCTCTTCAATTTACATATTATTATTATTATTATTACACCAGATGATTGATAATTATTCAAATAAATAATTATAAAATAATTTAAAAATAAATGACTAAATTATAATAAATAAATAAGAAAGAAAGATTCTTACCTTGATTTGGTGAATTTTTTACAACTACAAGTAGGTAGCTGACAGGGCGCGAGAAGGGTCCTCGATTCAGGATTCGAACTCGGGACGCCCATAGCACAACGGCGCTGTATGTCGTCGCACTATCCACAAGGCTATCAGCGCCGACATGATCAAATAGTTTTTTTTAGCTCTGTTTCAATAGCTGTAATGTACTTAATTTTTTTTTTTTTTT